TAATAAAATTTTTTCTTGGCATTTTTCTGAGACGGCCCGTCCCGGAAAATTTTTTGGTATTTTTAAAAATATTGAACAATTTCTTCCATATATAAAATTATTATTGATCATGTCAGAAGAAGCTAATCCATCCGAGCTTGAAGTATTGAGACAGCGTATCATTGATCTAGAGGCTGAGAATGCTAAGATTATGCGCGAGAAAGCTGAACTTGAAGCTAGAGATGCTGAGCTTAAGGCCAGAATCGAGGAGTTAGAAAAAAATAAAGGGGTTACTACTAAACTTGAATCTGAGAACGCTGAGCTCAAAGCTAGAGTTGCGAAATTGGAGGAGGATTACAGGCAAATGCAAAATGGTAATGTTACCGAGGTAACTAATTCTCCTAACAATAGTTCATCTAACTTATATTCTGTTACAGAGCAAATATTAGAGAGCAAACAGGGTGAGGAAATGGGGGTAGATGCTTTCTTGGACGAAGTACATAAGAAAAAGGTTAGTGATGATATTAGGCAGAGAAATCGGGAAAAGAAACATCAAGCCCAAGAGTCTCTTCTAATACAACCTGAAGAGAAAATTTCTCATGATCTCAACTCGGCTATTCAGCCATGTAATAGATCGCACAAGAAAAAAGGAATGAATGAACTCAAGCATGAATTATTCAACCTCTCTTCGGAATCAGATACTTCATCTTCTATAAACCATAATAATGTGATTGAAGTTTTTACATGTAAAAAAGTTACCCATGACGGCATTGATGTAGCCTCGCAACATCTAGCTCAGTTATGCGACAAGGCCATTGATGCTGAAGATAGGGCAAATCGAGCTAATCAGGAAGAAATTTTATGTTGGTGTCTCTACTGGAAGAATTTCAGAGATCAGCTTGATGAGGTTATCAGAAGCAATAGTGGAAAATTTGGCGAAAAGAAGGTGAGAGGTATACTTTATGATTCTATTACAGAACAGCTTAGTTTGCTTCGTAAATGAAGATCGCAAGAATTGGGGCTACAACTTAGGGATGTATCACGGGATAGCTTGCGTAAAAAAACTCAGAGTCGAGAAAAACTATAAATTATTCGAAAAAGTGGGTTTAGATAAGATCAAGTATATTAATTCATATAGCGCAAATTCCATTTCAGAGCTTACTGATGCGCAATTTTAAGAGATTATAGATTATGGTATATCTTTGGAAAAGTTGTCTATAGAAGCGGATCATGTGACCAAAATTTCTGAGACGACCCGTCCTGGAAAAACCTTACCCATACCTGAAGAAGATTCATCATTCACACCAGCTGATGCAGAGATCAATGTCACCTATGATGATGTGTATTTTGATGATTCCGATGAATCAATAGACTCGAACTACCCAATCCACAACATTCTCTTGCGTGAAGAAATTGCTCGATTAGAGTGAATCTCTAATTCTCCAGGTAATTCAGCACCCACGCCTCAAACAACTCCAGCTAAGGCAGAATATCATGATGATGATGTGTATTTTGATGAAGAGGATGTGGACGATGCTAATATATTCAGTAATAGCACAAATAAAATAATTACCGGTGATTTCACTTGTTCTGATGATGATGAACCAGGATATTACTATGATTTAAGTAGCAGGAAAAAAACTTATAAAAATTCAGATCGTTTAATTAGTGCATATTAACACGCGATACTGGAATCCCAATAGCAATAGTAATAGTATAGATTAATAAGTTAATTCAATAGTCTCCACTATTTAATAATCGCAAATTACATTGTAAAAAGGTGCGTAAAAATCGTATAAAAATAAATTTTGATGAGGACATGGGACCCCACTTCTTTATTTAATATTTTTTTTGCCGGAACAACAATATACAAATAAAAATAATTTTTTCCAATTATACATTAAGGAAGGTAATCATTATCATCACAATTATCATTACTAGTTGAATACCACATATAACTACTAATAGAATTGTTATCCTTAACTCTATCTCTATAGTCTTCATAGTCTTCGTAGTAATGTGAAATCGGTTCATTAGGGATATCGTCTAGTTTGAATAGAAAAAGAAACTAAGTCCCAGGTGGTATATTTTGAGGAAATTATTTTTGTAGAATATTTATGCAATGTAAACTTTACTTACAAGTATAGAGGTTCTCTCGAGTATTATTATCATTGGCCTTGGAGGTATTATTATTATTATTGGTCTTGGAGGCATTATCATCATTGGTCTTGGAGGCGTTACTATTATTGGTTCTGGGGGGTTTATTTTTCTTGTTCTTGGGGGTGGTGCTATTGTTATTGGTCTTGGAGGCATTATTATTGTTGGTCCTGGGGGTGGCGCTATTATTGGTCCTGGGGGTCTTGGTGGTGGCTTTTTTATTACTGCTCATTTTTTCGTTCCTAAATAAAAAATATATAATAAGTAGAAATTCAGTTTCACATTCTCTGTTAGATGAAATATACATTACTTTAAAAAATAATTACAGTCAGGTAAAAAAATATACAAGTAAAAAAATATAACACACCCAACAAGAAACGAAAAAATCGCTTATTTTATATCGTCCATTCGCTAGATCTAAAAAAACCTGCCAGAAAAAAAAAGTTACACGATTAGTAATTGCGGAGGGCAATGAGTATAACGTTCTTAATCAGTAGTTTTATCAAAATTCATATGTTACAGGGACTTCGAATCTCTGCCATCTCCGAGATCGTCAAATTTAAACATACTTTAAACAATCGTCGATTATAAGGGGGTTAATTTCACCAGAAAAAATAACAGAATAGATTCAGTGTTTGGAAGTTATGACCGAGTGGAGTTGCTTTATGGAGAAAAAAAAACTGCTGTTAGACTTGGGTAACGCAATTACCAATCATGTAACTTTTTTTTCTAGCAAAGTTTTTTAGATTTAGCAAATGGACAGTATAAAAATAAGCAAGTTCACTGCCCATAACGTTATTTTTTGCTCATATATATTTTTTACTTGATTCACTTGCCCGTAATTTATTTTTAAAGTAATGTATTTACCGTTTAATACAGTCTATGAAGACGATTTTTTACTTACTATGATTTTTTGTATTTAGGTATGTAAAATGTCCACTACAAATCCTATTAGCCTTAAGTGTCTTTTTCCGGATAGTAATCATATTAATATTCAGATATGCAAGGAAGATAAAGTTGCAGTACTTAAAGATGCAGTTAAGAATCTAGCTCATCAAGATTCTGATCTTTACGTTATCATTCCTAAGAATTCGACAGCCGAAATGTTTGATTATTTCAAAAATGGAACTTTTGATCCAAATCAAGTTTATATTATTATAAAACCAAAGGAATAATATTTTTTTCTTGTATTTGCATTATGTAACAGCAATATATTTTTTATTATATAAATAAAAAAATATTTTTATTTGTGTATTGTTGCTCTGGCAACAATTTTTTTTAAATAAAGAAGGGGGTTGGGACCCCATTTTTTTTTACGCGATTGTGTGAACAAGAGTTATACTGTTATTTGGATTTTACCGTTACGTATCATAAAATGCTTAGGCCAGAAATATGTATATACCGGATACAAATATTTTTATTTTTTAAGAGAGTGTGACACTGGTGTCATAGTTACACCAGGCGCAGTAATGGGCGCAGTAAAATGTTATTTTGATTTTTTCGTAATGTTAAGTATTACATAATCGATATTTTCCTGACTTAATTTAAAAATAGATGACGCATTAAAAGAACTAATTCTATCTATTTTTTTTTTTACCTATAGTATCAAAAAAATAATATATTTTCCGAGCTCGCTCTGTTTTTTTACGTAATGCATCATCACTTATCTCTTTTGGGAGTTGGCTTCTAACTTCATCGTTTACTAGAATTTGAGCAACTTGTTTTTTGTGATTTTTTTTATAGTATTTAAGACGTTTTTTAAGATCATGGCCAAAATTATAATAGGTTCTAATAACATTTTGAATGGCTTTTTTATTACCATCTTCAGCTTTTACAATCTGACGATATAAGTTAAGAAAATCAACTGACTCAGGATTATTTTCACCGGTAGGTACTGAACTTGACTGTGTAATAATATTTTCTGTAGAATCTAAATTTTCGGTAGTCAACTTATCAATTTCTTTAGATTTGTAGGTTCTTTTTTTATACCTTCTTCACATAATCTTTTTTAGATTTTGGTTTAACAGTTTGGGTTCATTTTGTATAGTCTTGAAATAATAAGGGATCCAATAAGGTGGGGTTAGAAATATGTGTTGTATCTGAGGTTACTTTATTCTGGCTCTGATTGGATGCTATTTGTGCCATTTGTGGCGAAATTTGCATTAGGTTTAAGGTACTTTGCTCAGAAGTGCCAGAATGTACATAATCAATAGATTCAATTTCCATTGCACATTTAGAGCATTGCGGGGGATCTTTTACATAATCCTCAAGACAACTACGGTGGTATATATGTCCACAGACAAGTATGGTAAATGGTTTTTTAAGTTCGTACAAAAAAAGCTCTTCTTTACACCTTGAGCATGGGTCTAGTTCTGGAACTTCAATATATTTTGCAATAGCATCTGGTGAGCTATTCTTAAGAATATTCAATGCAAAAGTTTTGAGACATGAAATATTTTTCGGAGTTGGGTCAGTAAATATATTCAAAGATAAAAATTTTTATAGTTGAGAGTTAGAATATGGTATAAAGGGTTATAAATGGATAAGTATTGTGATTAATTCTATACTCTGCTCATTTTTATTCATTATGTACTTTCACGACTAACAAAACTAATTTGCAAATTAAAAAAACAATTTCAGATTTGGCGATCTATTTATTCACAAATTATTTAGTATGAACCAAGGACCGATCGATCTACTGGCAATCATGAATAATTAGTGAAGAAAAGGGGTACACACTTCATAGATTTTTATTTCATATCGACACTTTTCTACCTGTATTAAAAATAGATCACTCAATTGTGATCTCAAGAATAGCATTAGGAAAATAGTAGACATTTAGCATCACCGCTTCGAACTGCTAACTGTTTTCTTTATCTTAACCTTTCTTGGCCGTGCCTTTCTTCGTTGCTTACGAGGAACAGCTTTTCGTTCTCTTACCTCAAATGTCTCAGCTGAATCAGATTCTTCAGAAGTCTCGGACGAATAGGAGAAACTCTTATCTTTTTCATTAATCAGCGAGAGAACTATTTCATGTATTAAGTCAACCACAGTGTCCTTATCCATACAGTTATCTAAATCTTCTAATTCAGTCTCTAGGGACTCTACATCTCTTTCCAGTCTTTTTACCGTCTTTTTTAAACTGATATACTCAGAATGATAATTATCTAGCTTTTTTGCTAGCACCCCAATTTCCCCAAAAAGCATATTATACACCTTCAAATTTTGCTCATATAACTCAAATATCCGGGCTATTTTCTCTATATGTCTGATAGCTTCTTGCTCAGTAAGTGCATTATCGGATGAATGCTTTTGATCAGTTGTCATTTTCATGATATTTTATATATAATTTATCTTACCTCGAATAAAAAAAAAAAAAAAAATTTAACAAACAATATCTAACCTACCCTCCTGAGAAAATTAATTTTGAGGAGGTATTAGTTTTCATCAGAGAGCTTGAATGCCTTTGCCTGATCATAAAGTTGTTCTCTCTGGCGGAAATTCACTATAGTATAGTTTTGTGCTAGGGAGGCATGGTTGTCTGGCGAATGTCGAAGAGCTTGACTGGCAATGGTCATAGCCTCTGATAAATTCTTCGCACCATTCGATACAACTGCAAACACTGCCCCTAATTTGCACAAAGAGCTAAGAAGTAGTGGTTTACGACTTTCTGTTTCAGGAATAAATTCATCTTTTTTTAGAAATGCACTTAAGTATGTAGATCTAAGCTTTCCGGGGTCTTTTAACTGTTCGGAAGAAATTGCTTCCTGAATCCAAGTAAGGAGTTGCTTAGCCTGCTCCTCATTCTTTTCTAGTGATCTAAACACTCGAGGAATATCTTGTTGACCTCAGTTTTTTGCATATCCTGTTACAGCTCTATTAGATATACGCAAGTTTTTAATTTCAGCAGGACGAATACAGAGCATTATCATTACATCGGCTAGGGCTTGTTTATTGGGTATATTAGATACATCATATAAATTCAGTCTCTCCTTAACTGATTCTAATGAGAAGTGGTCTGAAAAATCGATCACTTCATTTTCATGTTGCTCACTACGCTCCTTTTGGACTTTATTAGATAATCTAGTTACCTCCAGATTTAATGTAGCAGAAATTATTTTTTCTGAAGCATTGAG